CTCGATTGGAAGCTGGGCCAGCGGTTATCACGAAAGTTTTGCAGTAGATATAGCACCCCTACAAGCCGCGATTCAACCTGCAGATCCCGTATCGCTCGACATGGAGTTCAAGCCATCGACCGACATGACCCACAAGCCATCGACCGATACGGAGCACTCTCCATCGCTCGATATCAATTTTCAACCACAAGCCGATCATGTCACAACACCATCCGAGGTACAACCACTTAAATTTGATTTAACTTCACTAATACCGGATGAGTTTGGTATTTTCAGGGATTCAGATGGTCATGCACGAGCTATAGATGGGAGAATCATTCCTATCTCCACAGAAGATGTTGCAGACATANGGAGCACTCTCCATCGCTCGATATCAATTTTCAACCACAAGCCGATCATGTCACAACACCATCCGAGGTACAACCACTTAAATTTGATTTAACTTCACTAATACCGGATGAGTTTGGTATTTTCAGGGATTCAGATGGTCATGCACGAGCTATAGATGGGAGAATCATTCCTATCTCCACAGAAGATGTTGCAGACATAGCACCCCTACAAGCCGCGATTCAACCTGCAGATCCCGTATCGCTCGACATGGAGTTCAAGCCATCGACCGACATGACCCACAAGCCATTGACCGATACGGAGCACTCTCCATCGCTCGATATCAATCTTCAACCACCAGCTGATCCTGCCACAACACCATCCGAGGTACAACCACTTAAATTTGATTTAACTTCACTAATACCGGATGAGTTTGGTATTTTCAGGGATTCAGATGGTCATGCACGAGCTATAGATGGGAGAATTATTCCTATCTCCACAGAAGATGTTGCAGACATACTTCAGATGGCCAATGGACCTATCATCGAAAACAACCCGCACCAGAGAAAATGGCTATCGACCGATGCATGGAGACTAGCATCGATCGATACGCACCGCGAATTTGGGAAGAGAGCCTTCAATAACAGAGTTCGTCGTTTCTTTTGGGAAAAGAATGACGAATATGGAGTCTACAGAGATGAATCTGTCCATGCAAGAGCAGTAAACGGAGACATCATCTCTGTTACCAAAGAAGACATGAGAAACTTGCTTAAGAGAGCCTCGTTATTTGGACGTTCTTGTTTCTGTCTACCAAAGTTTGCTGAAGCCTACACTAAAGGCGTTCCTGATTGCAAGCTCTACACCCAAGCTGAAGTCACCTATATGCTGAATCAAAGAACTGGAGATCACAACTGGGAGATAGGGGTACTGAGACAAGAACATGAGAAGGACCTATCAAGACTTCGAGGTGAACTGCTCTGGAATACCCCCAGCAAGGACTTAGTAAGATATGAAAGAGAAGCCCTACAAGAAGAAATCAACACCTTGCGCGCACAACTAAATTCTCAGACACAGCCATCGACCGATACAGATCCCTCTGCGTCGATCGATACCACAGTCCAATACCCGATCGAGCACCACTTACTGAAGCTATCGATCGGTGACAAACCCAGTCCATCGATCGATACCCGTACTCAGGAATTCTGTACCAAGGAGGAACTTGAAGAAACCACAGCACAAATCTACAAATCTATTGAGTTTTGTGAAGACGAAGATTACAGACTACTGGACGAATACTGGTTTCCCCTACACAGTGATTTCAAAGGTATACAGTGCACAATGGAAGATATTCAGAAGGAGGTTGAAGATATTCAAAGACAGCTCGCCAGCCGACTTGACCAATCCCCATCGATCGATGAAGCACACAAGGCATCGACCGATGAAACCTCCAGAATCGACCGACGATCCAACACACCACGACACCATGCAACGCACAACAGAACACATCTACAGCATGCTTGGCAACCATCAGTACAGCCTTGCCAACTTAGAGGGGTGGTTAGAAAGGATCCAAACAGAAGTTTATGGTTTGAAGACTAGTATGACCAGAAGTGTGAAGGCCACAAGAAGCTTTCTAACATCTTGGTTTGATAAAAAAAATGACAAGGAGGACACTTGTTTACCAACAAGTACCTGCAACCCACCTCACTAGCTACCATAATTCCACAGTCAAGCTTACTGACTTTAACCAAGCGCTGAGTGGGAGGGAACCCACTGTTAGGTATTTTACTTACTTATTTTATTTTTACTTACTGGTTTCATTTTTTTTTTTTTAGGAGATACACACACGATCCATACCTATCGACCGATACGACCAGTCGATATCGCTCGACACAGACCAACACGCATCGATCGACGATGGCGACTCACCATCAATCGATACCCATATCGGTCAGGTATATCGTTCACCATTTCGATATTAGTTTACAAATTTGATTTTTCTTATGCTCTAACTCTGACTGATTATACACTGAGGACAGCGTATGATTTAAGTCTGGGGGGAGTTGATTACTGATGCTACTTTACCTCTTTTTGATCTTATTCATAAAGTTTTCAAAAATTGGTTTTATTGAGTCAAGAAAGGGAAAAAATTTCAAAGTCTTACTTTTTATCTCACCACTCTTTAGCACCATTCTTAGATTTGTTGATTGCAGAAAGTACTATAGATGCTAAAGTGGATCACCGATCACCTATCTCAACACTTTCATGCTGTCTGGAAGAACCAAAGCTGATTTCCAACCTAACTTGACATCTATTGCTTGTCTTAGGGCTTGGTATACAAGGGATCGGATTCCTCTTGCAAGTCTGGAAGGTAAAAGTCTTAGAAATTTTGGTTTCCTTCTTTCCTTCCTTCGGCATCCCTAGAGAATAAAAGATTGATATGATTTCCTGAGAGGCAGAGGGAGAGGTACATTACCTATGACCCCACTATTCTAACTCAAAGGAATGATCACAGCGAGGGAGAGGTACATTACCTATGACCTCACTATTCGCTTACAATTTGTCAAGAAAGGTCAATAAGATGAACATTAACTGTTCATTGGAAATGATATAAAAAAAAAAGAGAGAAAGAAAGAGTTGGGATTCAGAGAAGGGGGATAAAGAAAGAAAGGGAACTAGGACGAGAATGCCTGAAACTTGTTTGAGTTGAATCCAAGTGTTCCTTGATCGATACTCCCAAGGTAAAGCCTACACCTTTATTTTTATGCATAAATGAAATCAGTAGAGGGGATAGACAGACAAGGAATGTCTAAGTTGATTGGCTAGATGTATTAGGTTGCTAAGCTAGGATATGGCATAATGTACTTCTATAGTTTATAAGAATGAGATGTGGTTTGCAACAAAGTAAGAGGTTATGATTTTTAAGTTGAGATTTTGATTGAGTCCCTGCTGTTTTTAACTTTCTTTTCAAGACTACCTTAAAGTTTGCTTGAGGACAAGCAAACGGTTAAGTCTGGGGGAGTTGATATACCATGATTTTGACCCGTTTTTGGTCATATTTTCTATATGTTTTATTATAATTATCTATGTTTTGGAGTCTATTAGGTATGTTTTCAGGTTCAAGAGCATTTTGTCGTAAAGTGATGATTTAGGTGCCTTATGGAGCTTAAAGGAGAGTTTTACAAGTTGACTATGAAGATCCGACATTGAGAGACACATATCGATCGATACACACCTTGTGTAATCGATCGATGACGATTCCGTAGAAGTTGAAGTCGAGATACTCCATCGATCGATGTACCATCAATCGATACAGAGCGTGATGAGAAAGATTTACTTGCCTGACTTGAAGCCCAAGTTCTCACCAAATTACAAGACTGTCCCTGACGAGTTTTTAACCTAATTGTACTCCATATTTATAGTTATGCCTATGATCCCTAGAAAGACACACAAGATTTGAGTTTTGTATTCTATTCTATACTTAGCAATAAAAGTATTTTCTTTTCATCTTATTCTTTTGCTATGAATCTCTTGGCTATGTCTGAGTAGATTCATTTGTTAGATTTGGGGTTCAAATAGTTATGAGGGATTAGCCCCAGCTATGGATTGTTGAGTTGTTATATTCATTATCCAAATGAACCCTAATGCTTACTCCAGATTTGCTACCTATGTGTATGGAAGTACAAACATTATTATACAGGCTGAATGTTGAATCTGAGTTTGGGTAAGTCGATTGAGCGATTACCGAACTCGAATTGTAGGTTCTTCAAAGGCGTTTTATTGATTAGTGTTGATAGTAAACGTGATTACAAGGAGATTACAGAAAATGAAAGAAAGTCGGAGAAATGATGAAAACGCCGACGAGAATACAAGGAGGTTCGATTGATGATAAAACCCTGAACCTTGCTGCCAGAGTTCTTGTGTGTGTTTTCGGATCCCCTTCTCTTTCCCATGTGTCATCCTTTTATAGTTCCAACCTCTCTCCCCGTCGTTCGCCCTAAGACTTATTTGCATTAAGAGTCCAAGCCCAAATCCGCATAATGGGCTTTTTAGTAAAAGGAGAAATCGGTTGAGTCGATGTTGATCCGAATAGGTCAATCGGTCGCTAAACCAATTTTTTGGTTATCTCGAAAACGATCAACCGGTCAAATGGGTCGACAATCGATCGGGCTGCAAGTGGGAATGGGCTGAGTTTGGTTATTTGATGGGCCTAGTGGAGGGAAATGGAATTCCTCTCCAACAGTAAGTCCCCCCTAATCCATTGGTGAAGAGTGCAAGTCTTCTCAATGAAATTATAGGTATGGGCTCTGAAAATAACCGGCTTGTTTGTAGCCGGTGCAATGCATTTGGAAAGACTCTCGCTTGACCTATCGTTGGTCGCTCGAATGAACCTTGGGAGCTCGTGATTCCTCTTTTTTATTGTTCTTGTCTCTAGCGAGCGTCCGTTCGGTGAGTCAAGTTAACGGGTAATGAGGCTACTTCTTAGGCCCAATAAACCTAATAATGGAATATTTCTCGAATTGCACAACCCTTTCTTTTTTTTTCTTTCTATAAACAGAGAAGCCTCTTTCCTTTCTATTATTTCTCTTCAGCCCAAAAGAAAAGGTACCTTCTTTCTTCTTCCCCCTTACTTTTTTTTTTATTTCGCATCGCTCTTCACCGGAGGGTTCTTCTCAGATCAGCCGTCGCCGCCTCTGTATTGTTTTTGTATCATATTCCGGTTTCTGACTGAGATCGATTGCTTGGTCGTTCAGTGATCCAATTATGTCAATCCCTCGGTGGTTCTCGGACTCCGAGAAGGGAAAAGGCGTGATGACCAATCCGGATACCGCGGGAGTTCGCTGTTCGGCCCAAAATTCTTGGATGCGGCGATAAAAGCTCATCGTAAGGTCTTGGGTGGTGCGGTTGGTGTGGATCTCAATCGAGTTAGGGATTTTAATAACACGGGGGAATTGGCTGATAGCAAGGGCAACGATTTTCATTTGTCTGTAAGCGTGGAATCGGTCGTCGGTGAGGATGCGGCAGAGGAAACTTCCGTAGAGAATGCTTAACAGGAGCGTGAGCTGTGTTCATTCATCAGTCGGTGGGGATAGAGTCGCCTTCGATGCAGTGGGGAAAGAAAATCGCTCGATTAGCTATGGCAAACCACCTCGACCGCTAATCCTAGTTTAAGATGTTGCCTAATAAGTTTATTTTCGGATCCCCTACTTGTTGTCCCTTGCTCTCCTTTTATAGTGGATCCTTCTCTCATTTGACTTAGGTAGGTGTGCGGTAAAAAGCCTCTCGTAATGGGCCTTCTATGCGGCCTGAAACTCGGGGCTCGTTAAACAGTTTGTCCCTGGTTGTTAGTCATCAAGCGGAGAATGGCTTTACTAGGCTAAAAACGATCATGCACTAGCTGATCCGTTCGTCGCCGCTAAGCCGCTTAGTCATCCTCTGATGGGCCAAACATGATTTCTTATGGGCCTTGTGCAGGGGTGTAATCTACCTCGTACATTTAGGTCCTATGATCAGTTAAAGTTTTGTATATTAAACGTGGTCGTTTTAAATCTGCCTTGCTCTACAAATGCTTGTGAAGATTGATGCTAAATAATAGGATGAAGAAGAATTGTTACTTCGTTTCATCTTGAGTAACTAAAATTCTTTTTAAGGAGCAGAAGAACATAGAAGGTTTTAGAATTGCATAACCAATACGTGGGTTGCAAAAACAAACCAGTATAACAATAAACCGATTTGCCAACTGTCTGTGGAAGAGTAGCAAAGAAACAACAAAGGGAAAGAGAAAAGACTGTTATTAGAAACGAATACTGACTGGGCAGTCTGTACCAGCCATTGATAGAGTGACATGAGTTCAGGATGATCTAAGCATTGTGGGAACCGAAATTCACCCCTGTCAATTTTACGTAAATTTAGGAACTTTGGAAAACCCTAATTTCCTAGAGGACCCGGCTATCTGCGGAACCGCACACAAGCAATGAAGAAGACGATGAGAAAAAAGTTAAAGTATGAAAAACAAGATTAAGAGCAAGAAGGAGTCTTACTCCGAATTGTCGTAAGAACGGTACAACAAGAGTAAGCTTTAGATGCGTGAGCCGTCGGCGAGATTCCTAGTTCTAGCAATCTAAGACTAAAACCCTAGTTTAGACGCAGCTCGATAACATAAACGGAAAATTGCCTAAATGCTAAGTTTTAGTGGTGAAAGCTCTGAAACTCGTCCTTGTGTTCTTTCCTTGGCCTTCTGCATATATACTCCCTCCTTAGGCGGTTTAGTCCTTCCTTTTCGCCCAGATTCAAGTTTATCGGGAATCTTCCATTTGTCTCGATCTTTCCATTTGCCTTGCGGAACTCTTCTATTTATCTTCAAACTTGACATTTATCTTCAAACTAGACATTTATCTTCTTTCTGTGAGTAAATCATCAAACGGTCATTGTATCTTTGGGATGGATTTCATTTAAATTCGCAAGGGGGCTTTTATTGCGCTTTTGGGCTGTCCAAGCCGTTTTGCGATAAAAACCGTTTTACGATTTTAGACGAGATCGTTTCCTGATATGATGCCGTTTTTATAACATTTCTCGAGTTAATCGTCTAGTTTGGCAATGTACGATGTTCCGTCTAATCGTTGCCGTTTTATACGATCTTCCCAAACTTTATGAGAAAAGAAGACATTTAGGATTTTTATTGTAAAACCTGAACAGTGAGACGGATCGAGACGAGATGAGAGACGTTTCGACCATGGTTCAGAGCATGATCGAATCAAAGGACGTATGCCTTACATCAAGGATGCGGGAAATCGAGGCACGGGACGGTCAGCTCGACGTACAGTTGAACTGGTTCGGTTGAACCTGCTCGCGATTTACGGCGGATGCAGTTTTTTGCTTAACTCGGGCAATCGTGTAATCGGAGATTGTTTCGTTCGTTTTTCCAATATTACAATTTCCAAGTTTCGCGTGGATTTCCTTTGTTCGGAAAGTCCTTAGAATTTTATAAAACAACTTCTCGTGTTTTATAAAACATATGCTTATTATTGCGGAGACTTTTAGCCATTGATTTTGTCGTGATGGATTTTGACACCTACAAGCATTACGCCTGGGGCGCTTTGGTTTCTGCTGCTCGTCAATAGATGAAGGAAGACTGTTTGCATAGGAAGATCCTCCACCACTGCTTTCAGTCACCAGTGAGATATCCACCTCACTGGCTGGAGGCAGAGCTGACATGTCAGCTGGTCGGTCTTTAGGAGGTAGGACTGCTGGGGAGACTAATTTTGTAACAGTCAAGGTCATCTTCGATGTGAAATTGAAGTGGGCCACCTTGATCCTGAATTTGTGTGTCTGTACTATGGTATCGATGAAACATTGTGGTAGTGGGACCTCATGCTCAGCACCATCGCCACCATTTTCCTGATACAACAGCATACAGTTACCAACTTGATGACCCTTAAGATGTAAGGCTATAGGAGAATGACACTCACCTCTGCATATTTATCGATTAACTCTGTTTCTCTTCTGCTTTTCAGCTCTTTTCCAGCATCTCCAAGAATGATGAACATGGACTGCTCCTCATTATCATAGACGGATAATTCCACCCGGAAGCTGTGTTACAGGAAAGTGGATCATGGCACAAATTTTAGAATGCAAATATGTGAGTAATCATACCCTTACTTGGCTATTGCAGTAGCATTTTCATTTCTGCATTTTGGACATATGAAAGTTGTAGGTCCCTGGTTTAACTTTGTTTGACAATCCTTGCAAGCAATGAAATACCACTCAGTGCCAAGCTTAACATCATCGGTTGTGGCAATGCAGTCAAAGTAGGCAATCTAAAATTACATGTTTATAATGTTAATAACTAAGGTAGCATAGGTGTTTTGAGGTTCACGCTTGATGAAGGTAGCATTCCCACGCATTTTGAGCGTTTCAACTTTAACTATCTCTACCTTGTTGACTGAAGAAGCAGCAGGCGGATTCGCAGCCAACCTTGAAGAATAACTATTGATCAGGTGATGACTAAGAGTGGTGAAGTACTGTAACTATAATTCCTAACAGCCAAAGTACTCTTTGGTGTCATGAACTTCGTGGTCCAAAAAAACTCTAAATGAGGACATTGAGCTTAGACATAACTTCCATGTTAAGTGGAACACACAGAATGACACAAAAGCACTTAATTGACTGGAGGTTTAAGTAACTGAGTTGAGAGAGTAGTTTAGTACGGAGAGAGGAAGATTACCACCGAGTCTTTTTGGATTAACCGTTGTAACCAGGGGTGGTTTGGTTTTCATCGATCTTATGCCTTAAATTTTCTGCAGCCTGGTCCAGTAGATAAACGTTCAAAATTGGACCTCTTCAGTTTTAAATATGGTGTATGTTACATTAAAAAAAAAATTGGATGGATCATCTTTATCAAAGAAACGATGTATTTCATTTCTTGAAATGCAGACACTTACTCCGTTACCAACAACATCTACAACACACACACATAGTTAGACAGAATATTCATAGAGTTTTAAGTTGATGAGATCTCAACTAAACCTCACCATGAAGACCTCTAAGATCGCAATTGGCTTTAAAATCTGCAAAGCTGTGGATCCTGAAGCGCTGGGACAAAATGGCTTCACTATTTTCTTCAAGCTTTGACAGGGCAGAGGTGTGTGTGAAGCAAATAACCAGCTTCTGATTATCCACACAGTACATCACCTTGTTGTTGGATGCAAAGAAGTTTGTGAGAGTGTAGATGCAGCCATGTCCGAGATCATTCTCATATCGGCTGAGACGGTTTTTAGGGATGAATCCCTGAGCTACAGTACCTTAGAGACCAAAGCAAAGAACTAATTCAGTTTCATATCTTAAAAAGTATTGCTTAAAAAACAAAATCGATTACTCTATCATGAATATGCAAAACAGAGTCAGTGATGAACAATATATTAAGGTGTGGAACAACAAACCAAACATATATTTTGTTTGGCGGTCCCAAACATATCTTAAATAGTAGGCTTGTATTAAAAAAATGACCTCCTTAAAAAAATTTCGTTCACCCTATTAAAAAATTTCCGTTCACTATTTTCACTTATCGACAGCCATACAATTAGGAATTCGGAAGAAAATAAGGCATCAACACATAGTTCTTCATCAATAATCAGCATATCGAACCCAAGTAGTATGCCTTCATTCGAATTGTTTCTAGCTTCCCAGAAATGGATTAGCCTAAATATCAACTTAGAATCTCCTGGTCTTGCTGAAACCTTACTGAAGAGACGCAGAGAAGGAGCTTGCGCGGTGGTGACTGCCGTTTGATTTGCCATGGTGTTAGGAATGAATTTGAGGATGCTTGATATTGTTGGGTTGGGGAGGGTATATATATAGTCTAAAGGGGGAGAGGAGAGAGCTGGGATGAGTTTCGATTGTGTGAGTAATGATGGGTCTTTGAAGAGGCATGGGTATCGTTGTTTGGGAGGAGGGACGTGGAGAGGTACTCAGAGTCTTCGCTTGATGAGTAATTAAGGAGCACCGAAGGTGGCATTGTTGTATTCTTAGGCGTAACGCCGGTGGAGTTGGGTCGACGAAAGGATATGGAGGAGTCGCTGGAGACGTCGGAGGCTATTGAGGTAAGGAAGAGGAAGCAGTAAGTTATAGGGTAGAATTGTCAGAATGGGAAGAGGAAGCAGTAAGTTTAAACATAAACAAATTATAAAGTTGGGCCAGAATGGCCTACGGTCATTTTAATAATCGACTAGATGACGTGTAGTAATTTTATTGACTAAAATATTGACATTTTTGGGATGCTTTTTTATAGTAGGATATTAACTTTTGTAATTTGTAATTTTTTTGGTCAAAATTTTATTAGTTGGGCTAAAACCCAAACTTACAAGAGATTACAACTCATTATCATACATATTTTTAGCACAGTCGAAGCCCAATCAAAAAGATAAGGATATAAGAAAAATAAATGTTTCTAAAAAATAAAACTTTGACACATGATTGACACATACACTTTTATGTGGAACTTAACGTTTACGGATCCGAAAAGAGTGCCTCTAGTTTCGCCGGAAAAGTACTGGACCAAGAACCATCTACCTTTTTCTTCGCCTGATTGAAACCGTTGACCGCTCCTCCTTCCCGTGTTCGCCGACAATCTTGGAAAATTCCTTATCTTCACACTAAAGAAGAAGTCGGGTGATAACCTTCAAGGATATAGACATAAAACTTTGCCAGAACACTTTCAACAAAAAAACTCCAGCAATTTAAGTCTGTATCAAGTCTCCTCAAATTAATCAATCATCTCGATCTCATACCTTCAAGGGTATTTCGCCTTAATATCTGAAATGAAGATTAATACTTTTTTCAAGTAAGAGACCCATTTTATCTATCGAAAAGACGAGAATCTCCATAAACCAATCAGAATATTAATTTGTCAGGGAAAGATATAGTTCAAATTTAAGGTTAACACAACAAAAATCGCCTAAAGCGAAGAGACATAGCCAACGCGAATTTATTAAAATTCAACCTCAAATTCGATAGAAGAAGAGAAATATAAAAAAAAAACAGATCAATTTAGAGTTGAAAACACAAACAAAATCGACAACACGAAGGGAAAAGTCGATCAAAGATCAAAATATATTACACCAAAAAAAGATAAACTCGATCTCCAATGAAAGATAGAGATCGGTGAACAGAGGTTATCGAGAGGAAAACCTCTCTCTAAAAGTAGAGAGTAGTCTCTCTTTTTTTATTTGTATTTAATTTTAGCTATTTATTACTGTTTATTTTCATGTTTAGTAAACTTTTAAGTCGTTCTATTGTATTTAATTGCATCATTAAAGATTAATATGATTCTTCATGTTGGTTTTAACATTAAAGTATAAGCTAGTTTTTTTATTGCTAATTTAACTATGTAAACATATGGTATTTAATAATTTAGTTATGTTTTAACTTGGAATAAAACATGAATTTGCAAGAAAAATGTTATCTTTGCCAAAAAAGTCAAGTTTATTTACTAAATTTCATTTACAATTTTATTTTAACTAAACTAATCATAGAATATAATCTATACTATCAAAAGATGGTTATTTTCTTCTCTTGCTGCCACATCATCTAAAGCAAAGGACAAACAATGATACGTGTCTCTTCCAAAATCTTTACATTTTAGTTTATTAGAAAGCAACCCATAAAATTGGAACAAAGATACTACCAATATGTACCTCAAG